GCCAGCGCCAGCACCGCCACGCGCCGCGCCGCGCCCGCCGCCGCCACGCGCGCCGCCACGCTCGCCGCCACCTGCAACATGTGCGCGCGCCGTCAGCCCCGCCCGCCTCCTCACCTCACCTCACCTCACCTCATCTACCACACGAACCTGGCTCTCGATTTGTCTCCTGTAACTCCTATTGAGCTTCTCATCTCCGGTGACGAAGGCGACGAGCACACCGGGCGCGGTGCCGCGCTCGCTCTCGCCGCCCCCCGTGCCCGTCGAGCCCCCCGCACCCGGCGCACCCCCCGCGCCCACCGCCTCGCGCGCTGCGCCTGCGGAATTGTTGCCGCGAGCTGCGATGAAAGAGACGGGACAGAGACGGGAAAAGAAACGGGAAGGAACGGCAAGGAAAGAGATGGATGGAACGCATTCCTTCCTCACTTCACTACGTCTACCTCCTCGGCCAAATAAAAATAGACGACTATTAGGCAACGTTTAACAAGTGGTCGCAGAATGGGTAGGGAGGTGGTGGGGGAGGTGCCGCGTACCTTCGGGCGCCAGGTGGCGGCGCACCAGCTCCACCGCGTCCCCCGGCGCGAGCACCATCTCCCGCGCTCTGCAACGGACGCACCTCGTAACGCACCTGTTTACTCTCTTATACAAGATATTCGCGGATGCTGCAGCCCGACGCCTCGTTCGTAAAATGCGATACCATATTTGCGAGGTACTTAGCGCAGCGGATCTCTCGGCGGGTCTTACGTTGCCGCATAATAATAGTTTTGCTGGTGACAAATATGCTAAAGGAATTATAACCCACTTGCTGCCTTCCCAAAAGTCGACCCGCACGGTATCGGCGAGCTGACGCAGCAGCAGGCCGGAGGGCGACGCGCGCGCCTCCCGCTCCTCCCCCTCCCACAGCGTGCAGCGCAGCCCGCGCGCCCACAGCTCGCGCGCCAGCGCCGCGCCGCCCTCCGCTACCACCAGCACCGGCGGCGCGCCCTCCGCCCCGCCCCTCTCCCCGCCCTGCACACACACACACACAACTGTCGGTAGATAGAGATCCCGGCGGTAGTCGTCACACCTCGCCAACACTCACGTGCGCGGGATGGCGGCACAGTGCGGCGGCGCGCTCCAGCGACAGCGAGAAGCCGACCGCGCCCGCCGCCGCGCGCCCCCGCCCCCGCCCCGCCGCCCGCGCCGCGCGCCCCAGCCGTTGCACCAACTCGTCGTATCTGTTAAACATTTGCTTACATAAATAAATTATCGATAATATATTATGGAAATAATTTTCGCGAATATGAGATAAATCTAAATAAAGCAACCTGCCCCCTGCGGCCACCACGTGCCGCTCGCGCAGGCGCTGCGACGACTCGCCCGCCACCAGCTGCCAGAAGACACCGCTGTGCTGCTCCGCGCCGTACGCCAGCAGCGGCACCACCGTTATCGGGATCTGATCAAATTGTAACATGTGAGGAGGGTGCGGTGCGGAGAGGGGCGGTGCGGAGGGGCGGGGCTGGGCGGGGCGCTCACCTCGCAGCCGAGGGCGCGCGCGCGGGTCTCGAGGAGCGCGAGGTCCCGGGCGGCGCGCTGCAGCACGACGCCCCACTGCTCGCGCTGCACCTGCACACGACACACTGACCTAATGAGGGCTTCATCTTGCAACATTTTCCAAAGAAACTATTTTTAGCAATTACAACCAAAATTTATTTAAAAAAGAAAGAATCACAATTAGGTTTATTAACTAACTTGCACATCTCCAGAGAGGCACAAATCTAAACATATTAGAATATTATTATTTTTTCTTTTCTTGGCTTGTTCATATAATTTATTTGTGTTTTATACTTGTTTGTTGTTCACACCTGCTACGAAACTGCGTACGGTATTTGGACGACCCAATCCAACAACCAACGAAACGAAACGACCGAACACTACAAAACACAAGCGACCTCGAGAACGCAATGGAAACCACCGAAAAGACATCGAAGATATCGCGACATGCGAGGAGTATATGTATAGCAAGAAAAACACATCGATAACGTTATTTAATAAATATACAGCGCCATTTTTACAGTTTTATTGTGTTGTATATTGTATTACTTTGGTCAATGTTGCATAATTTATCTGTTGTGTGTACTTGTCTAATAAATATTATCTTTTTAGAAAATAAAGTTTTAGCAATTTTACTAAGTTACGAACAAACAATCAACCGTTAATTTACACAATACTTCGACACGACCTAACGCCTTGAAAACCAACGACCACATGTACCCTCTGTGAAGTTGGCCGCCTTTAAATAGGGTGTCAAGGCAACTCCAGATTTTATTTTTTTTGGCTTAATTGATTTTATCCTTAAATATGATGTATCGCTTGAACCTGGACGATGAGGTCGGGCAGCTCGGGCACGGGGAGCTCCGCATCGGCCAGCCGCATGAGCATGGCGGCGCGCCTCCCTCCGAGCGCCAGCGTCGCCAGGTGCGTCTGCAGCTGCTGGCGCACCAGCCGGCCCAGCGCGAAGTCGCGTAGCGCGCCCACCAGCGGCGCCGCGCGTTCCGCCGGAAGTCCCGCACAGCGCAGCAGCGCGTGCAGCAACTCCGCGTGCCCGAGCCGCAGGCGCGCCACTCGCAGCCCCAGCGCCTGCGCGCACCGCGCCGCGCACGCCACCGCCTCCGCGTCCGCCCACAGGCTCTCTGCGCAAAGGGAGCGCCGCCGTCACCTCGGTCGGAGTCGGAGCGGCGGTGGCGGCGGGGTGAGGGGGGTGAGGGGACACCGACCGGTCCGCGGCGCGACGATGTCGAAGGCGCACTCGAGCGCCTCACGCGGGTGGTAGCCGCGCGCCGAGCGCTCGCGAAACACCCGGCCGACCGCGTAGCGCCGCAGTCGCTGCACGCCGCCGCCGGCCACCAGCCTGCGACACATGACGCGCGTGAATTACGCATGAAGCCGGCAGTGGTGGGTGTGGGGGGTGTGGGGTGGTGCGGGGGTCACCTGGCGAAGGGCAGGCGCAGGTCGTAGGGCAGCAGGCAGACGGCTCCGGCGGCGGTCATGAGGCGCACGGCGTCTGCGCGGGACTCCCAGGCGTCGCCGCGCAGCGTGAGGAGAGGCGGGGTGAGCTCGTGCGCGCCGTGACTGCGGAACACCTGCGCGCGCACATATACACTTCGGCTGACCGTTCACTTTGTTACACAAATACGATACAATGCTAACTGTTGCCTTTCATAAATAAACTAAACCAGGCTTTTTTGACTTTTTGTTTTTATATTTTTGTTCGCGCTAAAATATTTGTATAAAATGCGACTATTCGCGAGGACTCATTATTGTCGTGTTTATCTCTTACTGTTTTATCTACTTTGTAAAACGGCTATTGGGTTTTCTTAAAATAAATAAATATAAGAAAATTGTATTTTATAAAGGGGACCTGCGAAGGTAAATTACAAATTTAACTTTTGTAATAAATACTTAAAGGGTTGCGTCAAAGAAGGGTTTCGAGACTTGTGAGTAAATAAAATAAACATAATAATTTGAAATGACTCGCGAGGTGAGTGAGCACAGCGCCGGCCCGTCTCTCGCAGCTCCACACGAACATACTTACGTTGACGACCGCATCGATGAGGTGCTGGAGGAGGGAGGGGTGGGGCGGAGCGCGGTGCGCGCGTGCCGGCTCGTGGAACAGCAGCTCGTCGGCGGGCTGAGCGCGCTGCGCGAGGCAGGCGCGCACGAGCTGCGCGTGCGCCGGCGAGCCGCGCTCCGCCAGCGCGTGCTCCAGCAGCGCGGCCAGCGCACCCCGCGGCACGGCGCGCGGCACGTGCTGCGACGCCGCCAGCTGCGCACACGTCGGCCGCTCGGCGGGCTCGGGTCGCAACATCCACCTATCGTTCCCTCCTCGCATTATCTTATAAACATGTAAAATGTAATCGTTGCAACTGCTGATACCGCTATTTAACCGTCGCTAATCTCAGTTGTGTTGCTATGTGCGAATGTGAATGCATATGATGAGTAAAGCTCGGCCACCGACCTGAGCAGGTAGACCTGCTTGGCGTTGGCGGCGGTGTCGAAGTCTGCGGGCAGCAGCACCTCGGGGCGGCGCAGACGCGCCAGCACGGCCGCGCGCTCCGCCCCCGTGCCGAACGGCGCGTGGAACATCTCGAACAGCGTCACGCCCAGCGAGTACACGTCCGCCTTCTGGTTGTAGCCCCCCGCACACGCCGCACCACCCGCACCACCCGCACCCGCCCTCAGCTCCGGCGCCACGTACATGGCGGTGCCCACCTGTGCGCGAAAGCCTTGCTTCATGATGTCAGTGATGACGTGACGTTGACGTGAAAACAAATGCGTTACATCAGCTGAAAGTTCTTCCTGGTACAAATATTGTCACGATTCAACAAGCAGTATGAGTGATGCGAGCGCGGAGCGGTACGGTGTGGAGGGAACACTCACCTCGCCCGTGAGCGCGCTGTCGCCTTCTTCTTGCGGTTTAGTTTTATCTGTAACAGAACAATTCGGTCGCTGCAGTGTGCCAGTGTGCCAGTGAGACAGTGAGCCAGTGAGACAGCGAGGATGCGAGGCAGTCAGACGCGAGCCGAGAGCCGACTCAAAAGAAAGTTGCAAACGAGACAAGGTACCTTCGGCGGAGAGACGCGACAGCGAGATGTTGGTGGCCAGGCCAAAGTCTCCGATCTTGACGTGGTCGTCGGAGTCGAGGAAGATGTTGGCGGGCTTGAGGTCGCGGTGGATCATGCCGCGCGCGTGCACGTGCGCCAGCCCCTCCAGCACCTCACGGAACAGCCGCCACGCCCGCACCGGGTCCTCGTGCAGCCCGCCGTCGATGGCCTGCCGCAGCGTGTGCTTCTCGCAAAACTCCATCTGGATGTAGAGCACGTGCTGCACCCCCTCCCCGCCCTCTCCGCCCTCCGAGCCGCCGCTCACCGCGCCCTGCGAGCCGTCTCCTCCTCCTTTGCAGTTGTCTTCATCGTCCTGGAACACTATACCGCTCGTATCTTCCTCGGGGCTGAAATAACATTAAATCAACTGAATAATAAATGGTTCTGTCTATAAACAAGTAACAAAACTTTTAAAGCTACATAAAAGCATTTGAACAAGCTTAGCTTTTAGCTTTATTAGTGTTATAAAAAAGATTTCGGAGCTGACCTCAGCGCCCACGAGCCTGGACCGTCGTCTTGCTCGTCGGTGTCGGTGTCGGAGTCGGTGTCGGTGTCGGTGTCGGTGTCGGCGGGGGCGGCGGCGGCGGCGGCGGCGGCGGGCGGCGCGCCGGAGAGCGACCACTCGAGACGCGGCGGGTCGCGGGGCCGGCCGGCGCGCGGGGCGGCGCTGGACTCCACCCAGGCGTTGTAGTAGCGCACCACGTGCTCGTGGCTGAGGCGGGACAGCAGCTTCACCTCACGCATTATCTTGCGGTTCAGCGCCACGTTGCGCGGGTTCAGCTGGATGCGTTTTATCGCGTACACGCCGCAGTCCAATTTGTTTCTCACCTGGAAAATGGGACGGAATCAATCACCTTCGCACTCCTCTAATCGTATGTATTATAACAAAACTACAACAATTAATTACTTAGTAATTAATTTTTTAGTTAGGTAGGTGCATTACTGACGACATGACTGATGACATGCGGTCGCGGATCTCACCTTGACCACGTCGCCGAAGCCGCCTTTACCGATCCACGAGAGCACCTCGAAGTCGAGAGAGAGACGAGACGCTCCTCCCGCGAGTACGCCCAGCGCGCGCAACCCGCCCTCCACC